AAAATGGATTGTTCGTAATGCAACATCATTTCTAACTCTCTTGTCCCCACAATATATCTACAGTCCAACTCCTCTTCTAATATACAAAACTCTCCGCAGCTGAAGGTAAGAGGGTCAAGAAGTTCAAGGCCTGCCTGATCATAGAGTAAGCTCAAGGCCCACTGGGAAACTAAGTGGCAAGAGTGTCTTAAAACCATCAGGTTTTATTTTCAATACTGAATGGTGCAAACTGCAACAAAAGGGCGTAGAGGTTAGAGCAGAACGGTATAGTGTTTGTGAGGTCTTGTAGTGATGGGAGTTAGCTGGATTAGGAAAGACATAAAGGAGTGGAGTGTGAGCCTAGGAAATGATGGATGAACAAGATGAGAAGCACAGGGGAGTCTTCTTTCAGGCCTATTGGAGGAAAGAGGCTTTAGTTGGTGACCCTTTGAAGAGTGGAAATTCCGCCTGGATTAGAATGTATGAGGACAGGCATGACAGTCATATCATGAGATGAGAATCCATGTAGTACTGTTGTTATTGCTGTTGTAGTTACTGTTGAGTAAATGGATGAATGCAGTGGATGGTTGAATAGGAAAGCTTAGGACAGACGATCTGTAATCTTGGCCGTTGTAGATGTTGGAAGGACACTGTTACTAGAACTCCACATGCTGTGGTAGCTCTCTCAAGACACCTGCTCTCTACAAAGACATGCAGTTGGTAGCTGTTGAATGTAGGATGTTCAGACTGGTACATTTATACTTTCAAATAGATAACAGATTAATTCAACACCAATAATGCTTTATCATTTTATACTAAATTAGATGAATTCACACACACATACACACACACACACACACACACACACATGAATAACAGGGACATGGTAATGGAATTTGAGGTCATCGTGGAGGTGGTATATGTAAAAGTTTTCCTTCCAGGTTTCTAGTAATTGTATGGCCATCAAATGGAATAACATAGGGAAAATCTTAAGAGTTTATTTTGAAAAAAAAAAAGTTAATTTTGATAGGAGACATACAAAAATAAAAGTGAACTCACAACACAGTCTGCTGTTGACAGATCACTAAGAAACACTGTTATATTGCCATTTAAAGATATGAAAGAGTATAATGCTATTCTCCAAATTATATTACCATGATAGTGACCTTTGAGAGTAGGAGTAGCCAGTGAAATACTGAAGTATGGTAAATAATGGGGTCCAACACTGCAGAGAAGAAGAGATGAAGTGATCAGTAGATCAGATAGTGAGCCTAGGTAAATAGATGATTCCCCTGTGTAAGGTATCAGCAGTACCACACTCATGTAAGCAAAGTAGAGTTGTAGAGTGGCTTAGCATTGCAGACTTGCAGAATGAAAACATTCTGGAGTTGTTTCATAATGTTATTTATTTAACAATACTGAACTATACATTAAAATGATAATAGCACACTTAAGTTTTGTAGCTTTTAACCACAATAAAAACAAGATAAACACAGGGTCTTTTTTGTTGTTCTTGTTGTTGTTTGTTTGTTTTGTTTTTGTTTTTTCTGAGGCAGGGTTTCTCTGTATAGTCCTGGCTGTCCTGAACTCTCTCTGTAGACCAGACTAGCCTTGAACTCGCCTGTCTCTGGCTCCCAAGTGCTGGGATTAAAGATGTGCACCACCACCAACCGGCCTGATAAATACAAATTCTTAATCCAGTTTAATCATAAAGAAGACCTTAGTGACCATAACAAGAATATGATTGGGGCTGAAGTGTGACAAGTGCTAAGTGGACAGTTGTTTCAGTTTGACTGTCAAGGGCATAGAAAATAAGAGACAAAGGTAGCTTGTTGTTGATGATTTCTTTAAAAGATCTCATGGCATTGCTTCAAGGGGACACATACATAACGCCTGGTGTAGGAGCAGAGTGAAGGTGAGGTGCTTGAGAGAAAGGAATGAGCTGGAGAGCACAGCTTAAGGATACTGGACAGCTGTGCAGGCTGGAGGCCAGAAAGCATCCTTCTCCCTTGATCCTGCAGAATGGTAAAGATGGTCATGACTGATTTGCCTAGATAGATTATTAGCATGGGTGCAAATGGAAACAGTTAGGCATGGTTGCAAAGAAAAACACAGACCGCAAATAACTGTTCATTTTTCCCACGAAAAGCAGCCAAAGGATTCAAGCCTGATTCTGTGGATGTATGTGGGAAGGAAAAATCTTCAGTCTCCTGGTGGAAACCAAAGACTCTTTTAAGCAGCAGATGAGGCAGAAAGTTTGACTGCTCTGAGTGTGCTATTAATCAGAACTTTCAACCCTAAGAGGAATAACTATTAGGGAATGTCAGGATGAGGATACATGTTGATGTCTGCTCCATATTAAGTATAGTAGTTTAAAAGTCTGCCATGAATCTTGTATTTTTAGAGACTAGCTAAATAATAAATAGGTAATCATGTGTAACACAAGGGAAACTTCCCAAGCCCATTGTTCATAACCTCAGAAATCTAGCTTTTAAAGGTATTGTATAAATTATATAAATTTGAATCCTCAAATGTTTAGTCAGCATAGCTCCTAGAAGCATGAGAAGAATTCTTCAACCCACTCTTTAAAAAATAAACTCTTATTGTTAGATGGCATATAAATAATGGAAATTCTTTATAGTTCTCTTGTTATAGTATAAAGACATTCTATGCACATGGTTTTCAAATCCTAGGCATTTCTTTGATCATATATCTTTCCCTGGGCAATACCATTTGTTTAGCTAGATTGTGATATGTCGCTAGAGGTACAAATGTTCTAAGACAAGTACTTATATATATCATGAGCTCTGTATTCAAAAACAGGAAATTTCACTGGTTCAGTTGGTAAATATTTAATTACTTATGGTAAGTACTTTATTATACTTCATTTTTATATGCATAAATATCACGGTTTCTCAGTTGAAAAATTTTTGTTTATTGAGGGAGCCTGACTTTAAACATATTAGGCACACAAGCAATACACCACAATAATAACACATTTTACATGCAGAAAAATGCAAAGTGCTTGAACACGTCTAACAGTGACAGCGTCACAGGTGGTGCCCTTTAAACTCAGTTGAAAGGATGCTTAGAAATTAGCCCAGTGAGGTGTGATCCAGAGAGGTGTGGAAAAACAGTAGTAGCATGTGGTCTGTTTCGAGAAGAAATGGAAAGCTAGAGAAAGAAGAGGTGCTCAGTGAGAGCACTGGAGAGCAGCTAGCACAGTCAACTAGCGTTAGATCGGTGCTGGAACACCTAATACGTGACAAGGGTACTTGAAAAGGACAGTCTGATAGCAATGTGCTGTTCTTTCTCTGGGACAAAGCTCAGCAGCCTTTTTTTTTTTTTTCCTTTGGCTTAATAAATGTCCAGGTCACAACCCACATTGGGTTTTGTGAGTAAAAGCGTGCCATAACTTCTCAACTCTCCACATAGTCTGAAATGGCCAGACATACATAATACATGCATAAATGAATGAGTTTACTAGTATCCCAATAAAACTTTATGTGGACATGCCAAAAATATGAATGCCGTATACTTTTCATGTAGGTCATGTGAAATGTTCTTAATTTCGGAAAAAAAAAAAACTTTTTAAAAGTGTGAAAACTATTCTTCATTTGTGGCCTTGCAAAAGGAAATGGTGTCTATTTTTGTCCATGGTGCTGTGTTGTATAATTTCTTTATCCTTTTCTGTGCCTCTCATAATACTTTATTTCTGTATGGCACCTTCTCAAGTTGTTTCTAGCTTTTCAGCACTTTAGTAAAGAAAGGACCAATTCTAAATGAAAACTGAGACTAGAAGCCCTCCTTTTCTTGTTCTTTACCTTAATGTTACATTTTCCATGCAAGAATCAGTGTAATATAGCTGATCCGTTCCATTTTCCCATATATGGACTTTGTAGAAAATGGGTAATTTTGTTTTTTTCTTGTTTAATTCCTTCCAGTGTTAGATTTGGTGCTTGCTTTGAATCCAACCCTTTGCTATTTCTACCTTTTCTTTACCTGGTAATATCTTTTCTAAATTTAATATTGGCATCCTATAGACATTAAAAAAAAAAAAACAGGAAAAATACAACAGCAACAAAACAGGAAAATAGGAGAGAGATTTGGGAAGGAGTTTGGCGAGGGAGGATACAAGCGGATAACAGATGACTTTGATCAGAAACCATCTTTATATTATATATATGAAACTGTAATAGTTAAAAAGGGATGTGTATAAATTGAGAATGTCAATACAATAACTTGTATACAAGTGTTATAATAAAAAATTTTAATTAGATAAAAAGCACCAAGCTGCTTGCAACTGTTGGCTATATAATTAGATAAACTACTTTCTTTATATACATCATTATGAATACCATCCACATGATTTCAGATCTACAAAAAATGTTTGACTTACTCCTGTCTGCTCTCTTGTAGTACTACAAGCCAGTGGAAATAGTAAGGGTAGACTTGGTCCAAATTCCATTTGACCTTTACTCTGTGCAGTGTTGGACCACTTAATAAGTTCTTGAAGCTTAAGTTTTCTTAAGTAAGTCAAAACTATATAGTCAGTGAATGGGAATTTTCATTCACCTTTCCCTTTTCAGCATAATCTTTTTTCACATGGCTGTAGCTATGTTGAATGATTTGGGAGAAGAGCAGCCTATATTTGGTGTCAGGGGCAGTGTTTGTTTTGGTTTGTAGACACAGAACTAAACAATAAGAACCAACTAGGTTCTCAACCTTCCTAATGCTGCAACTCTTTAACACAGTTCCTCATGTGTTAGTGATCCCCAACCATAAAATTATTTCATTGGTACTTCATAACTGTAATTTTGCTACTGTTATAGATCTGATATGCAGAATATCTGATATGAGACCCCAAGGAGGTTATGACCCACAGGTTGAGAACCACTGAACTAGAGGATTCTCAGATGTAAATTATTGACACTTACATGATGGTATACATGGTGAACATGACCTCAACTTTTCATTAATCTGTCCTTTGCCTTGTTTTTTTTTCACTTCTGAAAACATAGGTTTGACAGTTCTCTGGAAGACCTACTTAAGAGTGGACCTCACCCACCTGCAGCTCCCCAGGTGTTAAATATTCATAGTCAAGTGGCCACATTTTCTAAAGTAGCAGCCACTTACTCTAGGTAGAGTTCTTTCCTTCTCGGTTGTCTCTGTTTCAATGCTGCTGTGAATCTCAATACTAAACTCACTGAAATGAGAGCACGATCATGAATTAAGGAGCTGATGTCATTATGTGTGGACATACTCAGCCTCCAAACACTGCTTTACACTGCTTTTTATATTCTAGTATGCTTTGGTTTGGTTGTTAACATCTAATATAGAATGAGGAAATTTGTGTCTTGTTTATTCACTTTGCGATTTGCTAAATTAACTGAGTTTGGCTTAAGTCTGTTCTTAAATTCAATCATGTACCTCTGAAAGAAGAGAGACATGTTCCAAAAGTCCCAGACATGTTCTCAGACTATAGAGGCAAAAGATACCACCTGTAAGATGTTGGTAATTCTTTCATATAATTCCTTTTACCATTGGATGGAGGAACTTCATTAATTTCCTCCTCTCCCAACTACAGGATGAGTTAGCTGATGTATTTTTAGCTGACTATTTTATACCTTGTTTCTATTTATGATTCACCATCACTTTTCACCATTGGCAACTGCTGACTCAAAGATGCAGAGTGATTCAGAAACACAAACGTTAAATCACTAGGTACCTGTTCTTCACCTTAGCACTCACACTTCCTCACTCTGCATTGAAAGCATCTTTAGCTTCTCTCTCCTGGCCCCATTCTTCTTTTTCTAACTATTCATAGAAGTTGTTCAAACTTAGCCATACAATCCCATTTCATGGATTATTTACAAATGTGTACACCATCCTTTGCTTCTTATATAATATGTTAAACTGACTTCCTGTAGTTTCTTCAGTTTTCTTCCAGTGGTTTATAAAGTTACATTGGTGGAGTTGGGAGCTTATCAAATTCTTTAGAAGAGAGAGCAGACTTAGGTCCACTCTCATAGTTTCTTAAGCTGAGTTCTTAATAACCTGTGTTGAACTTGGCTCATAATGTGTTGGGGGTGGCTGATTTTCACAAACTTTTAAAACAAAAAGTAGTTATAGTGTTATAGTGATGTTATTAGTAACTTACACCCAAAGAGGAAGATAAGCAAATCCCACACCATGTTTTTAGACTATCCCATTTAATTAAAAACTCTCAATTAAAATTTGATAACCAATTTTGAGAGTACTGCATTCCTATTGCTAGAATGTAAATTTCTGCCCATATATTTTACTGTTTGAAAAAAATAATTATTTTAAGTCATAAGGACTTTTCTGAATATGAAATTTAATCTCATCTAAAAATCTTACAGAGCTAACTCAAAATAGAAATGGAGAACTTTACAAAGAAGGTAATATTTTGGTAATTTATATTCTTGTAATTAATGTTTATTTTTGCAAAGATTCTTAGCATCCAGAATAATTTAACTTAGATTATTTTAAAATTGTATGTTGTTCGTGTTAATAAATGTTGCTGCTTCTGAACATGTAGGCAGTTCTGCTTCTAAAGGCACATCTCATTTAAAATGTCATGTCCTTGGTGTATGTCTCCTCCCAGACAACACTTCTCTGTTTGGGAAAACCCCCTTATCTCTGCTTATAGAAACACAGCCTTTATTTTCAGATTCATTTTTTACTTAGTTGTTTATGTATCACTCTTCAAAAATGTGACATGTAAATTTCAATGTACTTATAATAGGACTGGACATAATTGACATGTTAGAGTGCTTGGTGGGAAACAGTCTGTTTTAGGCAGGCTTGCACGTTAAATTTGAGTCTCTGGGATTGCAGACATGATGCGTAAGTACCCAAGCACCCGTCACGCCTTCAGATGGCTCACTGTGTCTACTGCTGATTCGAGTGACGCTGACTTGTGTCCATCCTGCTGCCTTTTCTTACTTCATTTCCTCCTGCCCTCTTTCTTTCCCTGTCAGTGTAAGCAGCTCTACAAGGACTGTAGAAGGCTCTGTGGAAGGTTCTGGAAACTTTTCTGCCTTCTCCCCTCCTGCTAGATACAGTGCTGCAGTTGTCAGTGGTGCGGCTGCCACTGTGTCTGCCGCTCTCGCTGCAAAAACCAGGTAGAATTGTGTGTGCCGTGTCTGTCTGTGGTCCCAGCATCCTCCAGTGTCTGGCAGCTCACTCCAGAGGGAACAGACCTGCTCTGTCCGGAAGCAGGGTTCTGAAGTGAGCTAGCTCCCCTTGGTGTGGTGAGCATTTCACACAGGTTGTGGGGAAATCCATGGGACTGGAGAATGTTCTTTAAAAGCATCCCTGTCTCTCTTTTCACGACCACCACTTATGTGTATCTCTCCGTTGTACCCATTATTATATCCTATGTTCTTACAGTCTTAGAGTCTTACAGCTTTCAGTTGTTGTAGTTGAGGCAGAATCAGAAAGAAATTAAGTTATCTGTTGAGACTATCTTATTCCACAGCATTGGGGGACTAAAGCCTCATTGCTCTCTGAAATGGCCCTTTTGTGAGTTTTGTTTCTATATTGTTCCTATCACATTTAGCTTTTGAAAGCTAGCCTTGCATAATTATAGTGAAAATTCCATCCATTGTTTTTTGGGTTTTGTTTTGTTTTGTTTTGAGACAAGGTCTCTGTGCATAGACCTAGCCATCCTGGAACTCACTATGTAGACCAGGATGGCCTCAACCTCACAGAGATCCACCTGACTCTACCTCCCATGTACTGGGATTAAAGGTGTGTGCCCAGTCAAATTTCATCAATTTTATATCATATTTTATATATGAGTAAAATAATATGATAAATGCATAGCGTTTCTCTTCATCTTTCCCCACTGCTTTGCACTTCTTTTCTCTCTCTTCCTCCTCCCCGTTTCTCTCACACTCTTAAGAGAATATTTCAGATCATAGACTGGAAAACCACTTTCTTCTGCGGATACCACGAGTTTTCACTGAAGTCCTTCTCTGAATGCTTGCCAGGCTCTCCGGCCCTGAAAACTCTCAGTCCCTCCTGGATGCACTTTGCATCAGCACTGTTCCCAAGCCTCTAGCTTTTTCCTGTCTTCAGTCCTCCGAGAAGTCAAGTGGCTCTATCCGTGTTAAGAAAAGCAGGTACTTTGGGAAGGAACATGGCATGCAGAGGTTTGCTTCCTCAAACAACGTATTACTATGGTAACAGGCCAGACAGAAAATCATAGAACTGACTTATCTAATTTCATTTAGCTGCAATTTCCCTGTAATGCTAGTGCACATGCATACTGTTTTATTTACCCATCAGCTCACCTTTTAATCCTTGTGATATCTTTCACCAGCACGCTTGATGTTTGGTATGAAGTTATGAGTAATTGTGCCAATATGTGAACTATAGTGGACTCCTGACTTTATCAGATGGCTACAGCTGTAGTAACTGCACTTCTAGAAGTAGTGCTTCTACATCTAGAAGCTTGAGTGGTTAAATAGAAAATAGTATATAACCACATGCCATAGAGCCCGGTGCGAGGAGGATGATATTATTCCTTCTTTTAGCTAGATGTAGAATTTGGGTGCTTGCAAATGAAGGTACACAGGGGTACCTGGTGTCCAAAGTCTGGGGGTGGGGGGAGTAAGTGTAGTACACTGTAACTCAGCTCTCTGCTCTCTTAATGGCCATGCCCACTTTAGTGTTTCCATCGTCTGCCTGAGTGCCTCTCAGCTGAGACAGGACTGTCAGTTTGTAAGGCACAGGGTTTGTGCTTTGAGTGGTTTTCCATATTAGGATTGCTTCCTTTGTCGAACTGCATGCATCCTGCTGCAGATTGAGGAGTACACCACAAATAACCACATATAGCCGGCCACAAAGATGCACAAGTGTTGCCAAGGCTACTCAGGGTCTTCTCATCCCTTGAGCCATCTAGTATTGCTACTTCTGACAACCAGACTCCCAAGCCTTGGCACTGGATGCCTGTCATTCAGTTTACTGCATCACAAGTATGGCAGGTTTCCTAGAAGTAAATTTTAATTCCTTCACATGATTAAATGGCAATGATTCGAACTTTAGTATTTCTGAATTTCATTTTTGATATAAGCTCCTTTTTTAGAGTTGCAATTATCTAGCTCATTATTTTTGTATGATCCATATGAGTAATTTAATCTCAGAAAGTTCTTTTATATAATATTTTAAAGTAATTTATTCATAATGAATAAATTTATTAAAGATAGTTATCTTATTATTTGGATATGTTTATTAGCCTTTCAAATGTTAAGCTCACATTCTATGCCCTAAATAGGCTAAGCACCTTATATTTAACTATTTGAGCTGAATGGGACTTTTATTTCCAAAGTATTAATTGCCTTATTTAAAGTTTAGACAGTAACCTATAGAAGTAAAATAATGGTCTATCCCAAAGCCTTTAAATGATGTTCATTTATCCACTGTTCAGTAATCTTTGCACTGTTTGCATTAATGTTTTCATGTTGCCTTTATGTGTATTCAACATTCCTATTAAGCAGCACTTTTTTACTATTTATATATAAGAATTATTAAAATTCTTAAATTTTTCATTGGATAGTATGTTTTAACATTTAGCAGGTTTTAACTTCTCATTAAACTAATAAGAAATAGTAGAAGATGATGGCAGTGTTAAACTTAAATATGAGAAAACTAGTAGCCGAGCGGTGGTGGCGCACGCCTTTAATCCCAGCACTCGGGAGGCAGAGACAGGCAGATCTTTGTGAGTTCGAGGCCAGCCTGGTCTACAGTGTGAGATCCAGGAAAGGCGCAAAGCTACACAGAGAAACCCTGTCTCGAAAAACCAAAATAATAATAATAATAATAATAATAATAATAATAATAATAATAATAATTTTTTTTGAGAAAACTAAAATAGGGAATACTATTTCAATAAAATTCAAGTATTCTATGATTTCTAGAAATTGTTTAGGGTCAAATATTCTGGTCTACTCCTAGGATTTTCATTTTCACTATAAGGACCCACATGATTCCTATGTACTTGTTCACATTAAAAAAAAAAGAGGAAGAAGAAAAAGGAAAGGAAAGAAAGGAAGAAGCAAAAAAAAAAAAAAAAAAAAAAAAAGGTCTTGGGGTGAAGCCTGACAGTAATCAGGCTTGGACTTTGCAGGGATCCTTTACTAGTGGACTCCCATGAATAAGCTTTATTCCTGCGGCAGGGGTTATAACAAATGTGCACAGTAGTATCTGCCACAGAAGCCCATTAGAAATGGACAAAAGGTTTTATTGGAGCACATTCCATTAGGCACTCTGTGTCTAGGTGGTGCCAAAATTCTAGACTCCTGAAATGAAAACAGGTGTCAGTATAAGCCATATTGCTTACACAGTTTCAGACAGTGAGTCACTCATTGTAGGGGACAGTTTACCCAACCAAACTCCCACAAGGCTTTGCAAATAGACCTTCCTAAGGCTAGGCAGTCACATGTCTGTCATCCTAAAAGTTAACTGAGATTCAAGAGGCATTAGGGAAGTAGGTACTCTCAATCATTTGGGAATGTAGTAGGTAGTGAACCTGAAATGTAACTGAAGTAAACATACATTGTATAATATTTTACTGAAGTCATTAATAAAGAACCCTATTTTTGGTAGTCTCTTCCTCTAGCTGTTTATTTTAGTTATTAAAGGAATTAAACTTCTGAATTATTTAAGCTGTCTGGATTTAAAAGCTTAATAATAATGGGAAGTTTTTATCATCATCATCATCATCATACACCACAGTTTAGAAAAATGACCACTTTTACATTACTGTGTGATTCCAAAGCATGCATTTTATAGTTTGGGGCTCCTCAAATTATTACTCACTCTGAAGATACATGTATGATTATAAATGACAAATGGTTTATAAAAGCTACATGACCCTCTAAACCAAACTGGATCCAGCACAGGTAAGGCCTCTGATAGTCAATTAACTGATTAAGAGATCATGGTGGCTGAGTCTCTTCCTTCCTGGTGTTATGAACCCAGAACACTGGACGTTCTACAAGGCAGGAGGTACTGTCTCTTTGCTACAGCAGCTGGCATATGGTAGGTGTCTAAGTACCACTGGATAATTGACTGCAGTGGAAAAGGGTGGCTGGTCAGTTGTCAGGAACAGTTCATGAAGCACCCGAAGAAAGGGTAAAAAGAGCAACTTTGATCCAGTTCATCGTTATCAGGGGTACTACAGAAACTAATGGTCTGGATATGATGGTTCTTCTGAAGTGTTAAGATGGGAGTAGAAGGCAAATCCACCACTGCGAAGATGGCTGATATAATTTTCAGTGGTGCAATTTCTTGTTGTAGACTATTTGAAAATAATTTCCAACATTCAAAACAAATGTTACCTACTCTTTCTCCTTGACATAGAGAAGTCCTTCATGACTTCAGAATTATTTGCATGTAAAGTAATGGGTGTCCTTGTGGCATTTTCTTTTTTTTTTTTT